GACCTGAGAGGAACCAGGGAAAATCAGGCTTTACCTGGGAGAAAGTAGACTTAGCACATACAAAGGCAAGGCGGCCACCCATGTAGCCCGTGCTCCGTGGACAGCATGGAGGGTAGCTCTTTAGTAGAGAAGCCAAACCTTTACTCTTGATGTAGGGGAATGAATCTCCTGGGATGAGATTACCTGGGATGAGCTCATGTTCTCTAAAGCTGAAGAATGAATTTTAGGAACAAATGGAGGTCAAGAGCAGGATGTATTTATTAGGGGAAAGAAAACTCCTGTCCTAGAGATGGGGGACCCTGGGTGGGTTGCCCAGGGAAGCTGTCTCTTCCAGGGATTTTTTTATACAGTAAAGCCATGTGGTAAGGCAGGTCTGAGTTAGAGAACATGGGAACTTGCTTAGGTGAGCATGAGGTGGGACAGAACTATGGTCAACCAATGAGATTACTGTTACGGGTCACTCAGAATAGGAACCAGAGCAGTCAGATTGGAATTTGTAAAGCCATTTGTTACTGAGCTCAGGGCCCCCGTCAGCTCTCACGCAGGAGAAGACTGAAAGGCAGCTAGCCCAGGAAGCAGGGGGGCTTTTAAAACATGGAACCACCATTTGGTACACAAATTCATTGTCTGACCCAAAACAGTGTTTTCAGGGTCATTGTAACCACTACTCAAACTGAATTTCCTGGGGCTTTGCTTTAAAGGTTTTTGGTTATGTTGCATCTCGCTCCTGAGTACTTGCTTGCTGCCTTGCATAGCCCGAGGTTACAAGAAGTTAAAGCCCGTTTAATTTCCTTTTGAAGGCATCTCTGTAAGCTAGCTTTGTTAACAGAATTGGTGAGGGTTACAGGAATTGGTGAGGGTTACAGGAATTTTATCTAGAAAACAGCAGGAAACAACCACTAGTTACTAGACAACTTAGAACAGTGTTGAGTATACATTTTTACACAACAGAAAACAGAAGATTGACATTTATAGTCTAAAATGTGAGTTGACCCATTGCAATTACTAACATCAACGCTCAGGTAAAATTGATTAAATCCAGGACCGAGTGAGAAAGCGAGTCAGATAGCAAGTGGGCAGGAATATAGAACAGGGTTTCTTCCTGTTGGGGGTTGCCTTGGGAACTCTAATGGGACTCTTTCAAGGTGATCGATGCCTGTTTAGAATATCAATCCCTGATGCCTGTCCCTAGAGAAGTATGTGTCTACATTTGTTTACTCTTGTCTGGAGGTCTGGCCCACAGCTGGAGTGCCTGTCTCTTCCAAGTTGCAAAGTCACCTTATCTTCCACAGTGTCTCCTTGAGGTCCTGGCCCTGTCTGACTGCCTGTAATATTTCGGCTCATTTAGCTGCCTACATCATTTTCTTCTGGGGCA